TACATAAAAAGAAAAACATAAAAGTAAACCCCACAGTCGCATTGTTCATTCAAATATGCTTGTCCAACACAAGTAACAGCAGTTATTTGCAAAATACTTGGCATATGGTTCAGCTACTGCAAATAATAAAAAAAATAAAAAAAAAATAATTATTGCATGTTACCTTGCAATATTTAGAATGCTCATTAGCGGCAATGATAAATAATTAGAAGGTGGGAATATAGGTGTTGGCAAATCGGAATTAGGGTCCAAAAGGGGCTCAAGCCAATGACGGCCCCACGTTCTTGCAACATCGAGTGGAAGCCATCTGGAAAAGCCTCCACATTCAGTTAAGAAACTAATTTTCAGAAACAGATAAGAATAAAATTTAGAATATGTTGACAGAAAATTACCCGTTGCAGTTTAATGATAAACGACTAGCACCTCTTGCAAGAAGGATCTGCAGAGGCATAACAGATAAAATTAAACATAAATAAAATAATAATAAATAATTGATACATTTGGAAAGATTTTAATGAACACTGATCATTACCTGGCAGCATTTTAAATTTCCTCCACAAGCTGCATAATGCAATGGTGTGCTTCCAGCCCCTATAAGAGTAAGATCCCTTTTAGACGGTTTAATCCCAAACAGAAACACTTTCAAAGAGATATTATCTGCATTTAGAAAGATAATTTTTTACCTATCAAATCCATTGAGGTACCGTAATGGAATGTGACAGCTGATACATTTGCATGAAGGTCAAGTAGAAGCTGCACACAGTCAAAGTATCCGTTCAAAGCAGCCATATGAAGAGCAGTAATACCCCCATCAGCAGCCTTGTTTACAAATTTGGAGAGAGCACTGCACGTGAAAGTGCAAGATGATGCATAATATTGATAATAACAGTTTACAAATTCAGTCCATTTCCAAGAAAAGACACCATATATCCAAATGGAAGATTCACTTTCAGTAATTTTTATTCCCCTGATAATCTTTCTTGAAACAGACTAAATTCCACAAAATTCCTCAAGNTAAGAAAAAGAAAAAGAAAAAAAAAAACCTCTCTTCATGCTTGATACGATTGTTGGAACCATCACTTGTTTCAACTACTATTTGAGGATTAAGAGATTCATATGAGGCACTAGGCACAAAATCGGCAACCACTAATCTGATACATCTCACATGACCATTTACGGCAGCAAAATGAAGAGCAGTCCTCCCACTGAGATAATCTGCTCTAATAACCTGAAATGCACCCAACAGGATCATCAACAAACTGAATCATAATCTGCCATGAATTTTGATTTGACTGCAAAGACTCACATTGCATCTGAAAAGAAGAAGAGTCTGAACCACTTCCCAGTGCCCATATCGACACGCTTGCATCAATGCTGTCTGAAGAAGCAATTATACAATACTTCAAGACTCAGATTTAACAAGATCTCTTATTGGAAAGAAGAGAAGAACAAGTAAAAAGTTTTAGGCCATGATCTGGTCATCACTGAATAAACTACCAACAAAACTCTCCTGAAGTTTATATAATCAATCGGAATCACGAGTCAGTTCGTTTTTCCCAAAAGGGAGATCAAGAGTTTCAGCACTACAATATCAAAACAGGCAAATCGAACCTGCCCACAATAATTTCTTGAATTTACATCAGCCCCATTCTCCAGCAGCAATGCCACAATCTGAAACCCCAAATTTCCACTAAATTAGGGCCACAACGAAAACCCACAGTTAAGCGGATTGACTGATTTTTAGAAGAGGATGAAAAAAAGACTGGTTTTTTCTTACCTCATTGTGTCCTTTGGCAGCAGCAAAATGAAGGGGTGAGTTCAAACCACCAAAAGTTGAGTACTTTGAAAGACACGGGTTGCAGTCCAATAACATCTTCGCCTCCACAAAATCTCCATCTCTTGCAGCTGATACCAATCTCTCCCCTGAAGCGGAACATCCAAATGAATTACCCATTCCCTTTTGCCCCTTCTCTTTTCTGTTTTCGGTGGCTTTTAATTTCCCTTCTTTATTTCTTGGGTGCTATTTTTAGGCTAAAAGATTGGTTTTTTTTTTTTTCCTCACTCTTCGTACAGGATTATGAATATGTTCTTGGTGGATTTACACGAGCTGAGTGTGAAAAATCCAGGGAGATTGTAATAAGTGAAGGAAGATTTGTATGGTCGGGTTGACGAGTAAACAAATTCTGAAAACACAGCTACAAGAAAAGGCTCTTACTGCAGACCTCCAAGTTATACTACAACAAAGTGATGAAATTCCAACAGTTTTAATACAAATTTATTTTAATAGAATTCCAACAGAAATTCTAACAAAAATATTCCGTTGAAATGAGTTTTTCATTGAAATTTCTGTTGGATTTTGTCAATTCCAATGGTAAATTTTCCAATGGATGTGGAAATATAAATTCCAATGAAAATTGCATGGAAATTCATATAGTAAAAAACCGTTGAAATCATCAAATTTCATCTAAAATTTCAATGGAAAAGTCATTCCAACGCAATATTTTCGTTGAAATTTCTGTTGGAATCATTCCAACAGATGCTATACCATTGAAATATCCGTTGAAATATATTATAGTAGAATTTTTAGTTGGAATATAACAATTTTTTTGTAGTGTTAAAGACCCCGTGAGCTCCTTTTTTATCTTTTCATTACCCCTCTTGCTTTTAGTAACTATATCGTCATCAAAATTTACTTCATATGCATCTATAAGTTTTTTTCTTTTTTTTTTTTTCCTATAATTCCTTTTTTTAACAGTAATACTTTTTGAAAAATGAATAAAATATTGGCTCTTATACACATATATTGTGCAAGTTTTGTTATGTAAGGTGGTGTAAGTTTTTTTTGCACAAGCTTTCTGTTAGCCTTCTGGAGGTGGAAGGAGATGACCTCTCTGAATAAAATGCTCCAAAAAATAAGGCACGCCCTGATGCGGATGTGGCGAGGTAACTCAAGAACGCTTCGAGCCGCGCTTACCATGCATGCAAGAGGCTAGCGCGATGCACGGGTGAGACGCAGGCCATTGATGGTGAAGTGTGCGGGGCGTGCGAAATTGGCGAGCAAGTGCCGACAGACGATGGCGCGCGACTGGCGCGAGGGTGAGATACACAGGCGACGGGGATAGACGCGCTGATAAAGATGTGGTCATTGACCCTTGCGAGCCCGAGGACGAGACCTATGATGGCCTTGAGACACAACGCAAAAATAGGCAAAGAAAGGCCCGAGGGAATGGGAAAAGGGTGCTCACACTCGCGCGCACTTCCCGCCTCGTATCTTTTCTTCACCCGGCCTAGACCCGCACGCCTCGCGGCTCGGTTGCTGTGTGCTGTCAGTGCGTAGGAAAATGAAAAACGTCTGTCGTTAGATTTTGTATACTAAAAACATACACTTAAAAGTAAACAATACATAAACAATCATACGCCACCAAAACATTACACCACCTTCAAAAGTAAAAAACAAACAAACAAATAAACAACTCAATAATTTCACCATCCTGAGCCAACAACGGATAATCCGAAGCGCTTAATGTCACAAACCAATCTCATTCCCCATTGCCGATCCTCAGCAACAACGCTACAGCGTGGAGCATCACACCCAGCCACGACGATCCCATCCGATTCACTCAACAACTCTCTCCGACGACGTCCACATTCTAGAATTCCAAATATACCCCTCGAGATCGGTAATTGACGTGACAATATCTGCTTCGACTCCATGGAAACATACTGATGTCGATCTTCATGAATCTGAACTGTAAGTTGCAGACATTTCGAGGCGGATTTTTGGGGAGATTTTGGGGCCAGGGTTTGTGAATTGAAAATTGGGACATAAATGTGGCTAAATTGACCTTTATGATGGATGATTTGGGCTCTGTTTGCTGAGTCGGACTTCTGTATATTGTATCGATTACAAAAAATTGTCACATCAGTTTTCAATCTACGAAAGTTAAATCCGCATATGAGTTGCCAAGATACCTAAGGTGATGTAATAAATTGCTTAGGTCTATAGTTAGTGATTAAATGATCAATCGATAAAGGTGGTGTATTTCCTACCAAATATCCAATAATTTTTGGTAGATTCTAAAATGTCACTTTATAACTTATACAAGTTTTAATGTCACACGAAAGTACCACCCCTATAACTTAATCAATTATTACAAATTTAACTTTTCTTTTTAATAATGATATTTATACTTAATCAGGTATTACAAATTTAATATATTATTTTCTTTTTTATTTTGAAAGTCTTAAATAAAGTGATGTAAAGCATGTACACAACAATTGATCATATTTTTATAACATGTTATCCACCTCTTACACCGTTAAAATGAACAAAGCATTCAATTAATATATCAATCATTTTTTTATTGAAAAATATTTAGAAATCAATAAATATGAAAGTGAGAAGTATTTAAATATAAAAAATTATTTAGAATACGTCGCGACACAGCATGTGCAAAACAATGCGTAGTATACATTTGATAATGTACAATTCTTCTCTAATTAATAAATATATTAATTTAAAAATTAATATCATTGAAATTAATTAAAAATAATTTTAGAAAAAGGTAAAAGCCATTTTTTAAATAGTTTAGGATTATCAATCAATGGCATATGAAACTATCAATTCAAGACTTATACACTGCTGATAAGGAAAATAGATAAAAATATCTTAATCTAAGTAAAAACTAAAAAAATAGATAAAATACATCAGTAATTTTTTTGTACACTACATCAATTATTTATACATAAAAAATATAAATAATGTGTAGCTGAATACAAATAAATGAAGATGAAAAAAGTCAATTTATGCCACGGGCGAATAAAATAAAAAGGGGATTGGAGTGAAAATCTATTCATGTTTTTTCATTTTTTTTTTTCATTTTATATATATTCAAGTGTTTTTATTAATTTATTGACATTCATATCAGGGACTATTAAAAAGAGTATAATTTTGTCGCCAAATCGCTAGATTTATTCAAATATGGAATTGACAATTCGTGCAGTTTTCCAACTCTTCAGACTAGATCATTAAATTAATATTTTAATTTATTTAAGAATCAATGTAATTTATTAATGCTTTCTAATTGACAATTTACCTCAAATGATAAAACCCTTCTATTTAAAATTGCACGGGCAACAATACTAATATCATCCTATAATTAGTCAACATATCAATAATTAAATATCAATCCATATTTTGTCTTCCAATGGTAATATAAAAGATAAATGTTGTGATGAGTTGACAATAATTAACTTCCACACTGTAATAGAGACTGTGGAATATCTACAGCCTTCTCCACATGATGACTCGTCAAATTTGAGGAGAAGAGGCAAATAAGTTTTCGGATTATATCCTTCTCATGTTGACCTACAATATGGAAGCCGCTCCTACATTTCAAAGCCTACTGAACACGCCAATGGTTAGAAATCCGATGGTAATCAATCAAGGCGGTGTTAACAATGCTAATTTTCCTATCTACACTCCGATGACCAGTTTTCAGACTCATGGTAACACTTCTTTGGGTGGTAGTCGAATTCCAGCTAACACTTCAATTGTTTATTTTCAAATTTGTGGTAACACCGCGGGCATCATCAATCCAAACCAAGTACCACCAAAAGGATTAAAAAAGAGAGCTAAAGATGCCCAAACATCAAGTGGCAAAAAAGATTGGGGAGCTTTGACAAATGCATGGTTGAATGTGTCTTTGGACCCTATTGTGGGTAACAATCAAAATACTGCATGCCATGTGGGTCCGTGTCCATCAAGTATGGAAGGAAAACATGGGGCCTGGATGCAAATATCTTAGATCGTCTAATAGTTTACAATGCCATTGGTCCATAATACATGCAACAGTTAACAACTTTGCAGGAGATTATTCTAAACTAGAGAGGCATCCTCAGAGTGGTACAAACTCAAAAGACTTGGTAAATATATTGTGTTACGTTAGATGTTTACGTCATAAAATAATTTTCTTGTAACCTATCGTCACATTTCTTATATTTTATTTCCTTGTAGATTCACAAGGCGTTGGGTATGTACAAGGATATAGAAGGTAGCAAATTTAAATGGGTTCATTGCTGGAAAATAATGATTAAAAATCCGAAATGACAGTCGAAGCATATTGATAAGAGCACTGCACCAGATAGACAAGCGGATGATGAAAACAAGTCGCCTACATCGGAAGAGTATTTGTTGAATATCACTGATGATAACGTAACACCTGAAGGTAATAAATGTGATGGTGTGGGATGACCAACGGGAAAAAAAAATAATAAAGAAAAGAAGAGAAAATTACATGATGAAAAAGGTGTGGTGGATGCATTAAACCAGTTGCAGTCCACTTTGGCAAAGCAAATTAGTATCAATGAAAAAACTTGGGAGATGAGAAAGAAAAATGAAGAAGAAAATATTCAGTTGAAAAGGCAGACACTAAACAGAGAGATGGAAATGAAGATGAAAGAACAAAAGAGAAAGCGACAAGAACGGATAATGAACCAAGATTTAAGTAAGCTTACACCTGTAGCTAGAAATGCATATGAAGCCATGCTGACCAAGATTTTGAAAGAATGGGAAAAAGATGATATTTGAAACTGATATGACAAACTCACAGGTATGCTACTATGTGCTTTTGATTAAACATAAAAAAAATGTATTGATACATAATTTATCTTTTTTCTTATAATCAGGATTTTGAGGCTTCAGCAGAAGATGTGGACTAATTTTAGAGTTGTGCAAAATTACCACATTGAACTAAGTATTGATATTTCCTTAATGTATTTTTTTAGTTTATTTTTTTCTTACATTGAACTAGTTTGTTGCTACTTTTATTTCTAATGTAAATGGTGTTCAATTGGGTTATTTATCATACCATGTCCATGTGTTTTTTTTCATAAATCATTTGAAAATTGTTGAGATTTTAGCAGAAAAATATGAATAAGTACAACTATGAAATTATTAGAACTTATTAACTATTAAACTATTATGTTTCCAACTACTATTAAGATCACAATATATAATTCCAGAATCATGTCAAAAAGTAGCAGAAAGTAATTGTGGTTGTAAATGGTGTTAGGAGTGTAATTGTGAAGTCCTTCTAGAAGATAGTCTTCCACAAATTTTTATCTCTCTGTTGGTTGTGAAAAAACTCAAGATGCTCTTATGTGTCATTAATTATTACAACATAAAGGCAAGATCACCCGACATGGAAATCCGAGCAAGACTCGTGATTATAATAAACATCTGTTTTATTTCTATGCTTATGTAGATATATCTGTTTGCTTGTACCATATTTTTTCCTTTACAACACTGCTCTGTTAGATCGTAGTTTAGGTGATGACGTTGGGTTATGAACTTATGATAATGAGCATTGCACTAACTTCAGATAACGTAAATGTAATAAAGTATGAAAAATGTCAGGTGATTTTATCAGCTATCTCTGTAATAATTATACATCAAGTTTCTCCCCACTGCTGATTATGTCCATTAGGCAACCTATGTATTACATGAACATGGCCATGTCATTGGCCAGCAACCTTATATTTGTGATTGCACAACTCACTACTAACTTGCTGCTGCTGAAGCTAAGCAAGTATTAATTCACATTCTTGATCGATCATAACCATTAAACTATAACACTTGATTTTATCACACTAACATCAATTGAAATAATATTTTTGAAAAAAATGCAATTTCAATAACTATTGGACAACTAAAAATACAAAAATAAATTCATGTTTTTGGATTCAAGGTACAATTATGAGTCAATCAATTTGTTGACCACCATGTAAGTTCCATAAGTGGTCGATGAGATCGGTCTTTAACTCTCTATGCACTCTTTTGTTTTGTATTTCCTTCATTCTGCTAGTCATCCTTGACACGAGATAAGAAAAATCATGCTCTGGAATAACATTATCATTTACTTCATGTCGCCTAATTTGTTCTGGCTGCCAACTCTCGAGATTCATGCCTTGGTCAGTTTCATTTTGAATAATCATGTTGTGTAAGATGATGCATGCCTTCATAATTTTCTCCAAATCATTAGCATTCCACATACGTGCTGGCCTTTAACTATATGCCATCGACTTTGCAAAACACCAAATGCTCGTTCTACGTCCTTTCGTGCAGCTTCTTGGCACTTGGCAAATAACTTCTTCTTCATTGAAGATGGACTAGATATTGTCTGAATTAAAGTGGCATATTGTGGGTAGCTTCCATCTGATAAGTAATACCCCATATTGTAATGATGACCAAGAAGTCGCATGCCGGAGCTTTTTTATTAATAAGATCATCAAACAATGGAGACCTATCTAAGACATTAATATCATTTTTAGTACCGGCCATCCCAAAAAATGCATGCCAAATCCATAAATTTTGTGAAGCCACAATTTCTAAAATAAGAGTCGGAACTTTTTTGAAACCATTAGTATGTGTTCCGTGCCAAGCCGTTAGACAAATTTTTTAATGCCAATGCATACAATCCAAACTACCAAGCATCCCTGGAAATCCACGTGTCTCTCTCTCTTCCAACAATCCCGCAATACATTTTCCAATCGGTTTTCGTAAATACTGTTCTCCAAAGATACCAATTATAGCATCACAAAATCTTTTTAAGCTCTCAATTGCAGTGGTTTCTCCAATCTGAATATACTCATCGAGAGAATCTGCTGAGCAACCATATGTGAGCATTCTTATTGATGCAAGCAATTTTTGTAAAGGAGTTAATCAAGGCTTCCCCACGGCATCAAACTTTAGTGTGAAATAATTATCATAACTTTGAATTTCTTTTGAAATACATTCAAACAATTCGATGGTCATTCGAAAACGACGGCGAAATTGGTCAGGAGTGTATTTCGAATTTTCACCACTAAAACAGTCTTTGACGATTACATCATGCCGTTTTCTATCACGATGTATATAGCATCTCTCACTTGTAGACCCACCATGATGACCTTTTTCTTTGACCAACATCGTCGAAACTATTAAAGGAACATGAAGTAGACATGTTTGAACCAATTCCATATCTATTTCTGTATCCAGAGTGTCGTCTCTTGTAGGCTCATCTAATAGTTTTTTAGTTAACGAAAGTTCGCAATCACTGCAAGATGAACTATTGGAGTCTGAATTATACCCGGAATTTGTCATTTATTCCTTGTTAACTTGTAAAATAAAATAAAAATAAAAAATAAAAAAAACTTGTACAAGTTATCAACAATATTAATCTAACTAAAGTACTTATATTAATTTTATGGAAATCAAACATAATTGATCAAATAAAACAAGTCAAATGCATGATACACACAACCAAATAAATAAATATTACACAATGTTAATGTATCATCAAAACATACACACACCACACACCACAAGATAAAAAATTATAGAAGCATGATAAAAAATCACACACGCCACTAGATAAATAACTATAGAAACATGATCAAAAATTGATGGAAGGTGTTTTACCTATGCAACTCGAGCTTGAAATTGGAAGACCTGAGCAGGTAGGCCAGCCGCCACGTTTCTGTGTATTTATTTTTTTAGTAAATTTTTTATGTTATGCATGGTTTAGGAGATTTATAAATTGTATTTGTACAAAAAGGGGCCCAAAATTTGGGCTTATTGAAAGTATGAANTAAAAAAAAAAAAAAAAAAAAAATCAAAAGCCCAAACTATTTTGGAGTTGTTCACATTGTGCATTGAGGAACGCTTTAAATTTTAGAAGTTGTGGAGTCAAAATTCATATGATGTGGATTCACACCACCATTATTTAATTGACACATGACAAAATTAATTAACCAACAACATACAACATTAGAGATGGACTAATATCATTTTATTAGTCAACATATTATTGTCAACCGTTCAAACAAACATCTCTATTGCAATGTTTCATCGAGTAACAATAATTGTGTTGCAGACGTAGTCACTATAATGACATGTTCACAAATCACAATAACATATAACAATAATTGTGTTATATGTATATTCTTAGTCATTAGTCACATTAAAATATTATTGGATATTATGTCATGCACATAATAAAGGTTAGCATTATAGGATATGGTTTAATTTCTTCTTTCGTCTGAATTAAATCTTAAACCTTATATTAGTATATATCTAGTCATAGTTAAGAATTAAGAGTTCTACCGATGGCTATTTTTCGAGGTTATATGATGCTGTTATAATGCTATGAACATAGTAAATCAAGTTAAGCCATAAATTATATCATATTCAGAAACCATAAGTTTAAGATAGTGTAAAGAACCCAAATTGCTAAGTTGGATCATCAAAGTAGTCCAACAAGAGGGATCTTCATTAATGAAGACTTTAGAAGTTTAAAACCATACCGAGGGATACTATGGGATACGATGATCAGACCGTATAATAACTTTTTAAATACAGCTTTTGCTAAAATATAGGTTTTCATATTGTAAAATACCAGTTAAATTGAAAAACATAGTCCAAAGAACTAGTGAATACGACAAAATATTAATAAATACATGATAAATTATTGTTTTATTACTTTATATTTTTATATCAAAGTAATTATTAGTAGTACTATGTTTGCGTTTTTGTTTGGTTTTTAATTAGATTTAGTATTAAATAAGTTGGTCATATATATACCTTATAATATAATAATAAATTTGATTGAATTTATTAAAAACGATAAAATAAGCGATAAACTGGTTAAACCACATATTGGTGGATTTGTCTGGTAGGATTAAACCACATGTTGATGGATTTGTCCGGTATGATTGTCGATATGATCTTTAAAATACTGCTAAATATCTATAATTCTCTCTTACACATATATATACTTTAATACTATTATTATCGTTATTTTTATTATTTTTTAGTTGCATAGGACTTCAATAGGTAGATGTCTACATAGGATTACTATTTTGGAAAATAAAAGAAAGAAAGGAACCGAAAAAAGACGTGTTGCGTGATGATTATATTTTTTTACGAGTGTTTCTACATAATTATTAGGCAAAGATTCTACGTAAAGAATTAGGTTAGTATGGGGGAGCCAAACATAACTTTTTTGTTTTTTGTTTTGTATTGATATTTATCTTATTTAAGAAAAATTACATAAAATAACATTAATTTATCTCACTTTTTTCTCCAACAATTTTACTAACAAAATTAATCTTTACAATATATTTTGCAACATAAATATATTCGTTCATACATATATTTCTAACTAATAATCATATCAATTAATATTTTATTACTTTTATATTAAATCATTTTTAATAATTGTATTTTTATATTACATAAATACACTTTACAGTTTATTTCACTTTTCTTTAACATCCATTTTTTTCATCTTTATTTTCGAACAAAACATTTTTTTTTAAAAGAATTATTATATTCAATTGTAATCTAAGGTTTGCTGTCCTTTGTTAGGACCTCTAACTCAAAACTCAGTTCTCCAACAAGCTCAACATACAAGCCCAAATGAGGTTCCATTCTAAAATCAATTGGCAATAGAAGGAGTAGCCCACCAAGCTTATATATTGGACTTGGAACTTTTAATTTTCCGATGTGGGATTGAGTTTGCACACCCTACAAACCTCCCCTCAAACACAAGACCACATTGGGCCTCCCCCTTGAACGAAATTCATACGATCCGACCATCTTGTACCGCCGTTATCACCCACGGAACCACATTGGGCCTCCCCCTTGAACAAAATTCATACGATCCGACCATCTTGTACCGCCGTTATCACCCACGGAACCCGCCGCCTGACCACACCTTTTCGCCAGGAAGACTTTCGACACAAGGCACACGGATCTACCGGCCCTTCCGGCTCCACGGGGAACATGCCACGTCATCCACATCGCAACTGGGCTACCAACCGTGGCTCTGATACCAATTGTTAGGACCTCTAACTCAAAACCCAGTTTCCAACAAGCCCAACATACAAGCCCAAATGGGGTTCCATTATAAAACCAATTGGCAATAGAAGGAGTAGCCTACCAAACTTATATATTGGACTTGGAACCTTTAATTTTCCGATGTGAAATTGGGTTTGCACATCCTACATCCTTTTATTCCTTTGAATGTCAACAAAGAGAAAAAAGGAAGGGGGAAAATAGTTCAGCTGCTTTCTGTGACATTTTTTTGGTTTGTTCTTTCTTTTTTTGGGGAGGTTATATATAGAGTTTCACTGGCTCATGAGCAAATCAAAGTCCATTGATTTTGAAAAATTGCTTTTAGTTGTTTTATGGTGTTTATTGTGATTGGTCGTTTCATGGAACAAATGTAATAATAATTGAGTCCGATAATTGATTTTTTCAGTTGTGTTTATAGAGTTTTAGCCTTGAGGTTGTTTTATAGCGCGTGTTGATCTAAAGATATTAAAAAAATAAAAATAAAAAAATAAAAGGGTTAATTGCCTCTAAAATCATAACTTTTTGTTAAATTGCAAAAATAACTCAATCTTTTGAATTTTGCAACTAAATACCAAACTTTTATTATGTATTGCAAATTTGTCTCAAATTCAATTTCCGGCAACCCTTGCTGACATGTACTATCGAAAATTTGACGTGGCACCAAAGTCAATGCCACATCAGAATCCACGTCAGCCCCCCAACACCCTTAAGGCTCGTTTTTTCCCATTATTTTTTTTTTTTTTTTTCCAAAACTGCAGAAGTAAATCTCATAACCACATAATAGTTTTACAAATCGAGAGATCAACTGATCTCAACCCAATCAATAATAGAGGACTAACTCTTAATAATCCTCAAAACAATACAAAAGACCAATACTACGTCAAATACCTCCAGGCTCTGAAAAGAGAGGAGAAAAATAAAAATACCCCCACATCAACTAAGTCAACATACCATAGGCACCTTTCTCACCCGCACATTTTTCACGCAGATCGGAGAATTTTTTGTAGCGATTTGAATTTGGGAGACGCTGAAATTTGGATCGAGCGGCGGATTTAGGAGAGCGAGATAGAGGATCGGAGCGCGCCGTCGGCTTCCTCGTCCTCATGCGCCGCCGTCAGGATTTGAAACCGCCACGCAGCGGCGGAGATCCGTTTTCGTGCACGGGGAGGTCGTGCATGGCGGGGGTATCCTGGGTGGTGAGCATCCTGGCGCTTGCGGCGGTGGGGAGGGAGTACGGTGACAGAGATTGGATGGTGCTGGAGGGGAATTCAGGGAAGGCGGCGATGGTGGGGAGAACGGTGACAGAGATTGGTGCGGCGGCTATCGAAGGTGGGGTGGTGGATGGGGATTTTGGGGCCGAAATTATGGCGGAGGACTTTGGGATTGAAGTTTGGGGAGGGTCGGTGAATTAAGTTGCATATATATAGAATTATACATAAATTATTTCGAAATGTTTCATAAATTAAAATGTTGGGGGCTGACGTGGATTCTGATGTGGCGTTGATTTCGGTGCCACGTCAAATTTCCGATAGTACATGTCAGCAAGGGTTGCGGGAAATTGAATTTGAGATAAATTTGCAATACATAATAAAAGTTTGGTATTTAGTTGCAAAATTCAAAAGGTTGAGTTTTTTTTGCAATTTAGTAAAAAGTTACGATTTTAGAGGGAATTAACCCAAAACAAAACCTAAAAACTTTACAAAATAAAATATTATTTAACTCATATAATTTTTTTTTTCTCCACAAATCCATTAAAAACTAACGCACTAAAAGATAGAAGGTAATCATACTATATATTTCCATACAAAAAAATATTGATCCACCCATATATTTTCTAACTAACAATCTTATTAATTAATATTTTATTATTTTTATATCAAATCAACAATAATTATTATAATTTTTATTTCATATCCTTTCACATCTCATATTTGTCTTATTTTCCAAACACTCAGTAACAACACCAAACCGAAAAGACCCCAAATTCATCTCAGATAGATTACACCTTCACAAAAAATCAGGAAAACTCACAGTTTAACAAAGCAGGAAACAAATGTTAATAATAAACAACCAAGAAGCTCAAACAAGAAACAAAGTGGAAAAATATTAGTTTTTTCCAGGTAGCCAAACCAGCCTGTACAGACATCCTCATATATCTAAAGTCCCTCCGCACATTACAACTTAAAACACCATTTGAGAAAAAAAAAAAAAAAAAGTTGCCATTATTAAGTCAGTCAATCCTCACACCTTCCAGCTGAAATTCATATTATCATCCAGGTCACCACTGAAAAACCCGTTGTCAATGAACTCTTGGGCCACGTCTTGAACCAGCTCATCAGCCAAGTGAAGATCCTGAGTCACGTCTGCCGTTTTCTGGCCGAAACCCACATTTTCTCCCGTGGGCCCGCCTTTCAAACCGCTGTTCCTACTCGGTGGAGGGTTCACAATGGCATTATTCCTCAGCATATTATTATTGCCACCTTGATTTTGCTGCTGTAAAACCTGTTGGCTGCCTTGTGAAGGGACAGGTTGACTTTGCTGTAACTTTTGGTGCTGCTGTGAAAATCCATTCATGGCTGATGGCGGTAAATTACCAAAAAGCCCTGGGGTCTGGCTCTGGCTGTTGTAAGGAGAAGTCACCTCCTGCTTAAGTGAACTATTACCAATATCATTATTGTTGTTACAATTATTATTATTATTAATGTTACTGTTATTGTGGGCTGAGTTTGTAGAATTTTGTCTCATGAGCAGATTTCCTCCTCGATTAACAACCAGTTGGTTGTTGTTTATTGAGCCGTTGAGCCCTGGGTGCATAGCCATTAGCTTGTTGAGAGTGTTTCGGTCAGTTGGCAGGCCTTGTGGGCCCACATCTCGATCTGTTTCTTGCATCTGAAGTTTAGGGGTCGAGGGGTGCCGGGGGAAATTCTTCAAGCCCTCTGCAGAATTAGATGAATTTTAAGGAAATTTGTGAAAAATGTGTTGTTGAGAGAATACCATATGTGGAAATTCAAAAAGAGGACGGTTAAAGGATATGTTTGTTACCAATTGGACCGATTTTGTGAGATGTGCAGAATTCCATCAGGTCTTTCATGCTATTCACAACCTCAGATATCTATTAACATGGGACATATGAGATTTGAGAAAAAAATAATGAACTCAAAAAAGGATTGACTTGAGTTGTACAGAGTTAATAGTGACCTGTAGACACCGCACATATCTCTTGGAAAAGCCCAAGTCGTTTAACGACTGTAGCTCCAAACTCCTGGCAAGCTGGCGTCCAGCTGTTACGACCCTGAAATAGAATAAAGAATGATAACATATGCAACTTCAGAACACTGCTTCTGGTCACATTTCCCAAGAAAAAAAAAAAGTAAATTATACATCTCTTTTAACTAATGCAACTTGTAGCATCGACTTGTCTTTACTACAACATCCTGATTGTCAACTACTTTTAGCTTGAGTGACAGTTACAATTAATCCTTTCGTCCAGACCAAAAAACAAAAAAAGATCATATCTTTGCAAACAAGATAAATACAGTTTGACTACCTAATGCTGGGAGAATAATTGGCTTTTCTTGGCTTTCATTACTTATGCACCCTATTCCAATTATAAATTGGGTATTCTTTGGCACTACTTGATCCATCATATAGATTCATTACATAGTGATCTATGTTAACTAGAGCTTAACTATATCACTAAAAGGTGCGAATCTATGTTAATTATCAGGAAACGAAAATAGTGAATGAAGTATTTTTCTACTTTGACCGTAAGTAGAAGTGTTAAGAATTTAAATAGCTCTGTCAGCTAGCAGCCCAAACTGAAAATGAGCTACCTCAATTTATGCAACTGAGTAAATAGTTCTCTGTCTGGGGTTCGGGATGGCAAGATAATTTCTGATGATAATTTAACTACATGGATATATCCAGAAGAGTAGGAACACTCAATTAAAAGACTTTAAGCACCAATAAGTCGCATGCTGCAAAAATTTTGCACCAGGGAGAAGCCATTTCTAAACCATTGATCGAGAAAAATGAAATTCACTCACATCACACTGTTTGCCTGTAAATCTGGTTGGGAAACACCATCAGGCCCGCTTTCTGATATTGTGCTTTGACACTTTTGTGCAACCTGCAGCAATTGATTCACCTGCAATACAAGAACTTTCTGTAAGTTCCACATTTAAAAATGTATCCAACTGACTGTCATGCTAAGCAACCAAAAAGTGGATATCAAAATTCATTGTCTTGACATCTGAAGGGTGGGCAATTTTGCAGCCATCCCCAAAATAGGTCATTTTACTAAATAAATAATACTCAAGAAACTGCTTAAGTATTCGACTCAACAATTATAGATCATCAAGATGCACCAAACCCTAATGTTTACGGCTGCTTTGAGATTGCCAATCACGACAAATTGCATTCTAATATTTTCTTTTTTCAATAGAAGCAAAGAATTACGGAAGAGTAATATATGACGCAATACTCTTACAAACAATGTTACTCTTCTATGAAATCAATTTTTTCTACAAAAAAAGCCAAGCACGGAAGCAGCACAACAAGAGATTCATTACAGTGCCTGCACCGTATGTCATTGTCAAGATGGACATTATTGAAAAGTAAGTATATTTTCACTGGTTTCATGTGAAAAATGTAATTGGGTTCGGGTAAACAGATGAAGAGTAGCTCCGTAGGTCTAGTAACAGAAATATGTATTTGGTTGAAGTAGATTTAAGAGTTCTGAGTGAACATAGCTATCAAAGGTGAAAAGAGCACCAGCCAAGAACTTCTGCAGCATGAGGCGCACAGCACGGCCCAACAATTTAAAGTGATTGATTTTGGCTATGATTACCAATAAGCTCACACAATATTATTAGTAAGACTGCTTAAACAGAGAACACAACAAAAGGTTCATGGACAGCAAGCCCTGCCCGCACCCTGAGCGTCAAGATTTTAAGGGTAAATCTAGGCACCTATCCCTTAAGTATTTGAAAGTAAATGCTTCCAAACTATGCATATAAAATTTGAGAAGTTGATAAGGTTGAGATCCGCATTCAATATTTGATTCAACAAATGTATCAAATTAGTGATCTGAAATGGTTTCACTGGAAGTGTAGAATTTGTAGATAATTATATATTAAGTAGATATATATGTGGGACTGTGGATCTAACGGGAAAATGACACATGCAGGGTTTAACATTGCAACTAACGGCAAACAATGTTGTGTTATGTGGAATATGAGAAGTAGAATTGTAATTTCCAGTGAGAGCTCAAACAGTGCAAATTCCGATAAGGCAAGTCTACCTGAGGTGCAACCAATCGACGAGGCAGAAGTTCTTCATGGCGCCGTGCACAAAATTCCCAAGATAGTATCTACAGAATTTGGAAGCAAGTATTAAATGTCTATAAAATGAAGAGATCCAAACTATACAGCCAAGTGAACAATGCTTCAAATATTCAACCTTTAAATCAGAGGTGAAAATAATGCGAAGCTGACCCTCGCGAACCACACGGAGTTGCTCATACACACTTTCTGAAACTGCCTTTGCATACTCCAGCATCATCATTCCAGATGGGAATCGACATTCCCGAGGCAAGTCCAGAAATAGAAGCTCATCAATAATGCCGCTACCAAATTTAATTTCATCGAGTCTTGGGAGTACTTCAAAAGTTGCTTCTGTTGATAACAAAAAGGCAAGTGAAAAAATTTAGAATACACAAACAATGCAGCTAGTAAATAGGTCCAGGGTCCAAGGAAATGCAATCAACTTCATGATATTTTTGCCTCGAATTGGTTTCATATTCATGTTGTGAACCCTACCAGTTGAAAAAGCCAAGAAACTCATCCTTTATACAAATGCCATCATGACACAACTGGAGATTATGAGAACTTAAAATCAGGATCAGTGACCTACCCTCCACACTACCAAATAATAATACTAATAGTAATAATCAGAAAGATAAGCTAATATAGCCCCAAGGAAAGAAATGAAATACTAATGAAAAGAAGTGGAACCAAAGGTATAAAGGTACATATACAGATTATTAAGTCACTAGAAATGCTAAATACCATAGACATTCCAGACATTATCAAACAATGTTCAAAACTCTGGATACTATATGGTGAGGCTCCACCCGAATCACTAATCATGCTTCACATTTTGATACTTAGACAAGCTTGTAAAGGGTGACCGTGAAAGATTAATTGGATATATTTGGTCTGTGCATGTGTACATTTTGCCAGAAAAGTGAATACGGAAATCCTTCAACTAGAAATGGAACACATCGTTGCATAAAATCTCTATTCGAGCAAAAGGAACTTGTTATCGTAAATATGGTATAAGTTAGATTGTATCAATTAGGCGATATAGTAAATCACGTAGATTAGGATCTTCGATTATTTTCCTTTCTTACATCTCTTTTGGCTTGTACATGTAACTTGTAATCCTCATTGAGTTATACATCAAATTAAGAGCTTAACAGCATTACAGAACTGTTTTTCGCTTTTACTTTTGCTAGGCAGCCAGCAACTCAGATCTCAACCATTCAAGGAGTTTCTTCCAGCACAAAAGAGTGCAGAGATTATCAATTTTCTTGGAACAAATAGAGATGGATTTTAACTTCCCATAACACAGAAAAGCTATGGAATCACAAACCATGTTAAAAGGCAATGTCAAGTTCTAACAAAACTACCGCGCCAAGGCGATTATATTGTCACCAAAGCAAATGGTTCACGCATAACACGAAAATACAGTGAATTTATGTGGAATAAGATTTGGAATGGCAGTGACCATACTTGGTTTGGATATTATCCATTTGAGGGAGAAAAAATTTACCACACGTCCGAAAAAATGTACACAACATGAACTGTCACTCAATAAAAATCTACAGAGAAAAGAAGACTTTTGCAATACTATAGCACAAGGATTGAAAAAGAGGAGAGGACTTGTTATAGTTTTATCACATTGCACATCATTATCTCAACCATGCAACTCATCCTCATCAGCACATAATAAACAAGGCACAGCGACATTTGAAAAACCCATCAACAATATCTTAGTTCAAGTCAAGTGGGACAAGTAAACCTCCCATTGTAATTGCTAATAACTTTTACTTTTAGAGTTAGTCTCAGCCTCTAGCACAGTAGTTAATCTCCATGAAATTAGTAAAGAAGTATAGACCACAGAAATAAAGGTGATTTACATTATAGTTATTCTTCCCAGCTTAGCTTGGCAAATTACTTAGAACATGAAGGAATATACTGCTACAACTGGTATGATGACCCATAATGTTAAATGAAACTCACCGAAACCTCTTCCAGATTTTGAACCACAAATGTCACACTGCCATGCATCCTGCATCAGAAGAAAACGAAAAATAACCCTTAGCATTCACACCTTAAAAAAAAAATCCATACTGTGGTCAACTCTAATCAGAAACTGCCAATAAGCACTACAATTAGTCAATTACCATTGCTGCCTGAGGGAATACTCCCAGCGAATGATGTCCGACATTGTCATAAAGTGATAGACACCATCTCTTCTTTGCACGCGGAGAATAATACTCCGCCACAAATTTTCTCCAATAGGCAATACTGTTGTCCTGGCAAAAAGACACAAAAAACCAATCAAAAGAGTGTTCATAGAAACAGATAACTAAATTACATGGAACACACACTGACTGAAGGGCCAGACCAGATAACACCAAAATGAAAACACATGTAATGAGATCAAGTACAAACACAGTTAAGATTACTCACAGCCGGGCGTTGTCTCTGGTGATAGAGGTACTGCATTAGTCTACGTGAGCATACACCACCATCATATGGCCGTTTTATTCCCGAACCTGGCTGCACACCCTGCTGCTGCAGAAGCTGTTGTCTCAATTGCTGCTGCTGTTGCTGCTGAAGCAACTGAACCCGTTGCATAGGCGGCATAGACTGAAGAAGCTGTTCTCTCTGCTGCTGTTGCTGCCTTAACCGCTGTTGCTGGATAAGAGCCTGCAGCTGAGGATTCGGATTCGGATTCTGCAAGCCCATCGAGTCTTGCCTCTGCAAAAGCTGCTGCAGAACAACATCTTCCTGCTTGATGTCCAGGCGCGGCTTCTTTTGAATCTGAGACATGGTGTTCGGGTCCTGAATGAAAGAATTCGGGCCCCTGGGCCCAACAGGGATCTGGACCTGGCCCATTCGCGACCCGGGCAAAGATGCAGTGCTCGAGTGCTGATTTTGCTGGGCTTGTGCCGGGTCTTGATTGGACCCGTCGATTACGGACGAACCAGAGATGCTTATGTTGTTGGACGTGAACGAGAGTGGGGAAGTGGGTAGGCGCATGTAGGACTCCGTGTTGAAACTCGCGCTTCTTTGCATGTGGGGCCCGCCGCCCGAGAGGCCCGAGTTAGCATCAGTGACCAGAGAGCTCGCCCCAATGCTGGGTGCGGAGGTTGCCATGCTGTTGAGGACCGCATTACCGATGTCCCCCGACAGTGGGCCCACATTGACACGGGCTCGTCCAGGTATGGAGTGCATGGAGTTGCTGATGTTTGAACTCAGCTGTGAATTGCCAGCGATCTGAGACTGCCCGTCCCCTTGGAAAAATATTCCGGAGCTCGAAGATGATTGTGGCATCCCTCCCGCTGCGCGAGAAGGCACCATCTGGGGCACCCGGCGCCTAATGTCTGAGATTCAAAGTTTTTTGTACAGTGCAGGAATCTTCAAGAGTTCCAGGGTAGTTCAAGAGTGCAGGACTCAAGCTTGCTAAAGTGCAGAAGCCCTTTGTAGCAATTACAATCGCTTACCGAGGTGTAATCAACACGAACTGAAGGCTAGTTTTTCACCAGCAATCTTTTTTCATATTCACTTGTCTTTACACCAGCACATCGAACCCCATAGATAATAAATATATAATTGTACGGATACTGCCAAGAGTTCAAGCATGAATATCAGCAAGTAACTAACTACGGATTAAAATCTAACACGATGATATAAAATACAAAACAAGTAACAGTATTGAGAAAACAAACTGGTAGCAAGTAGCAATTTTTAACAGTTAAGCAAAGCAGGGAAAATGCTAATGCTCTCTTGCGGCCCACGATAACCCAATAATATCCAGAAAACCCTAATTCACGACCACTAAGATTTACACAACAGCTCAAATAAAAGTACCCATCTTTAGCCACGATGAGGTCGAAATCAAAGGCACCATCCTATAAATCAAACGATCACGCCACTCACAACAAGCCGAATTATCCAAAAAGAAAATCCAATTTACGCAGACTTCCAACAACAACAAAGCATTGCGATCAAACTGAAATTTACATTAATTAAGCTAGTTCACCCCACTCAAAGGTAATTTGCAGCAAAAACAATCAGATTAGAGCTCTAATTAACATAATAAAAAAAAGGAAAAAAAGAAAAAACCACACCTAACCATCATTGACAACAATCAAATATCAAAACCTTACAATTGCCACTAATATCCAAATTGTGGGACCGAATAAAAAAGAAAAGAAAAGCTCTGTACTTGGGGAAGACCACTAAAGAAAACAGCGAACAGAGAGAGAAGATGGGGATTGGAATATGCTTAAGTACCTTGAAACACTGAAAGCAATCGGAAAACAATTAGCTCAAGGGGAAAGGAAGAGAGAGATTTCTTCCGCTGGTCGGCCTTTATATACCTAGCGGGAATAGAAAAGGGAGGAGCCACGGCTATAGCCGGTGGAGGATTGCTGGTAACCGGATGCAGACAGTGGGTATATGGACACGTGTCGGATGATCGTTAGTCGTGTGGAGGCGGTGACATGATCTGACGGTGGCAACACGAAGTCGTTTGGGTTGACATATACGTGGCGCGATTGGATTGGGAATTGAGGGTCTGAACGCTGTGGGTCCCAATTGGAGTTCGAGAAGGAATTATCTCCTGCGTCCGGATGCATTAAAGGCACAATATTGAAAAAAAAAAAAAANNANNANGNANANNNA